TAATTACCAAAAATTAGAAAAAAAATATTTTTTTTTGCAAAGGACCGGCCGTAACCGGGACCGGACGACTTAACAGGTTACCGGTAAGCTTGACCGGTTATGGAGGATTTCACCGGAACCGGAACCGGGACCGGTTATGGAGGGACCGGTTATGAAACGTTTTTGTCTTGATCGGGACCGGCCGTAACCGGTTATGGCCCGGCCCGGGACCGATTTTTGGCCACCTCTATGTGGGAGTAAAAGAAAGAAAGGAGAAGAAATAAATTAAAACTCTTTAATGTAACATCCAATTTCTAATATGCCCAATTTTGTTTATTATATTTAATTATTGGGTTAAAGAGAACTTATGATTTAGTGGGAGTTTGGGTCTGAAGTTTTAGAATTATATTTCTTAAGAATATATTAGAGGATTTGGAAAATATCACGTCAAATAGATACGTAAAACTGATTATTTTTTGGGAGATCTTTTCTGGAAATAGATTATCTCTTTATGAACGTGTAGGCGAAAACCTCATAGAAAACGGAGGTCCGAGCGAAAAGTTATGAATAATTTAAGTGTTGATGGTCAAAATGGGTACCTAGCCGGGCCAACCCGGTCCAACTCGAGTTTTAGCATTATAAATTGGATTTTTGGCCCATTTTTTCATGTCATCTAAGTCCAGAACTCACACACACACTAGAGGTGCGATTTTCACATACATAGGCTTAATTCAACTCAAATCAAAGAAGAATTACAAGATCTTTGAAAGATTTGATCATCAAGTAAGGTATAATCTATTTTTTGCACTTGTTCTTAGTTGACATTCTTGTTATATGGATTGCATGTTGAGATAGAGTTAGGGTTTTATATGGGTTTGATCTTAAGTGTATAAACGGAGTGCATTTTAATGTTTTTGGCTTGAAATGATCATTAGATTCAAGAGATTATCAAGATTTAAGCAAGTTCATCATATGAACTTTAACTTGATCAAGTCAATGATTTGGGAGATAATATAAATGATAAAATAAAGGTTGGATTTTGGTTGTTTATGTCAAATATGTTATATTAAGTTGAGATTCAGAAGTTGGAATGGTTTGGAATCGAAATGGTTTGAGAAAAATGTATGAAAATGAGAATTTCGACTTAAGAATGCATTGAAAGTGTGCAGACTTTGAAAATCTGTATAAAATCGTAGAAAAATCCAAATGAGGTGAGGCCAATTTCTTTAGTTAGATAATTGAGTCTAGTTTATTTCTTATTTTATGATCAAGGCATGAATTCGAGCTTAAAATGGGCAAAACAGTTCTGCATGCAACAGTTATACATAAAAATCTAAGTAAAATGTTCAAATAGGGTATGTGTATATCATGAGTTTCTTATATTGATTGCTTATGAGATTTTGTACATTTACTCCAGGGGGTAATTAGGACATATTTTGATGCTTTGGAAGCAATCTAAGTGTGGTAGCTTGGACTTTCTTTGTGAGCTCATTTTGGAGCTTTTCGGTATTATACGGTTGTTCGGTGAGTTATATAGTTAATTGTTAAATATTGATTTGAACATATATATTTTTTCATATGAATGTTTTTGGTCTTGAATGGAGTCACACAACTTTTGTAAATCTCGGTTTGCATTTGGATGATGTCTTGAACTCTTTTATTGATAAGAGTTTATTATGTATGTTTATAAACATGTACGATATTAATATGTAATACTTAACTATTTAACTCACTAAGCGTTGGCTTACCATTTAAGTGGCAACCTCTCTCAAGAAAGAAGACGGATAAAAAGAAAGAACCCGTTGTCTGACTCGAAGATTTATCGAGGAACTTAAAGATTTCGATCTTGCTTTTGGTAAATAGTAGCTTATTACCGTATTTCATAGTTGTAGTAAGTGTAGCTTATATATAGTCTTGTTCCGGTTATAAATATGTCCCGTATTCTTTTGCTACTTAATTCGGGTTGTAAGTAAAAATCTGTTATATCTGGTTTGGAATTGTGTTTTGGGTGGTTTTATCACTAAAAAGAACGGATATTTCGAAGTTTTTCTAGAAATTAATATCTCATATTTTGAGGTTAATTAATGTTATACCCAGATCTGTGTGTTTCAAAGTGTTGGTCCATTTTCATGGCCTCTGGTCCTTCATGGCCTCTGGACCTTCATGGCCTCAGGACCTTCATCGCCTCAGGACCAATTCATCGCCTCTGGTCTTCTTCTAGACTTAGTCGTTTCAGCAGCATTTTTCAGATTTTTCATCCTTAGCCCCGATTGCTTTGACAAAACTTTTAGAATAATTAGGATCAATTTTGGTCCCAATAATCAATAAATTATATTTTATTGAAGATTTATAAAATTGGTAATTTGAGGTTTGCTCAAACGAGATGTTACATTTAAAAAGATTATTAAAATTACAAAACTACCCAACCTTTCATTATAAAAGATATTTTAAAAGGCTATATTTATAAAAATGATATATTTCYTTTCTTTTCTCTCATGTTCAAGAATATGAAAAATTATTTTGTTTCTTTTCTTTTCCTTCATTTTCGAGAAACAACAGGCATGCGGTCAAAGCCCCAGGCTCCTCCCACTGCTTGGGATTGGCCGAAAAGTGTTCTTGCCTCTATCATTAGCTCAAGATGGCACGAGTAAAACGGTACTCATTATGGAATTGATTAACAATATTGTCAGCCATTCTGAAAGAGCAGTTGATTCAACAATTTCTAGTCTTCCACAAATATATAAAAAAATATTTTCTTTTCCTTTCTTTTCTCTTCCTACTTTTCCATCCGTTTCTTTTCTCCCCCAAATTCGAAAATACAATGTAAGTGCTTTATACAAGCAATTGCTCTCATAAACATCTTCCTTAGTTTGAAGCCCAATGAGACTGCAATTGCTCTTCGTAAACATCTCTATTGTAGACTAACAAAATACAGAGGATTAGAGTTACAAAATAGACGGCAACTACCAACCGAAGGGTTAAACATCAATAAATGTGGTGGTTACTTGTGGGGCCCAATAGTTAGCTGTAGAGCCTAAAGAGTTCAAATTTCACCAGATGTGAGAAGTGTACACACGCTCTATTTGTCATACATAAATATTATATACTTCAAAATTAATGGATTACTCGGAGTGCATGTTGCAATCTCTTGTTGAGTTGCAAACAATCACCCATACAACAACCAATTGAATCGATGAATGAAAACGAAATACAAGCTAGAACGGGCCCAAAGACGTATTTCTTTTTGTACAAAAATAAATAAAACTTATTAATACATCACCAAGTAGTAGCTTTGCCACTCACATATACAGACCCACCCACCTCTTATATTAAATCTTTTAAAAGAGTACATACAATTAATTGTCCAAAAACAGCTCACCTGGTACCTCTTTATACACCTCAACCATTACCTTTTTTGTTGCTAAAAACAGCTCCTTATTGTTTCTTGAATTCTTCAGCATTGAATTTGTTCCAAGCTTCCTGTCATATAAAGAGATCTTGAGAAAATACACACCATGACACTATTCGATCAAGAAATTGCAATTTTTCGTTTAAATTACCGTTGCCCATTTTCAAATTCCAAATGGACAATTATACTCAAGAAGCCAAATATGGGCATCAACAAGTAGCCATGCATTTTGTTAATTATCAATTAAATACAGCAGTGTTTTTTTCTTTCTAAGGGGCTGTTTGATTGGTTTTCCATCAAGTCTTGTATGGATAAAGTTGTCTGTATAGATTAAAAAAGTTTTTGTTTGGAAGGGTTTTTCATAGATAGGAGTGTTTTTTAATTGCGAGTCCCATTAAGCTCATTAAGCTGCTCATCAGGTATACCATATAATCCATTCATCATTGATAGAACAAAGGACAAATTTGGCAACCATAAGCTAGCATACTTTTTGAACTTATTGAAAAAGTCCTGTTTATATTCTTTAGGGGGCTTTTTCCACGTTTATTCCAATTATGCCCTAAAATTTTTCCAATTAATTCTTCAACATATCCTTTTAGATCATTTTACATTGTCGTTTAGCTTATCAACTAGTTTTTACCAAACATGATTAGCTTTTCAGCCAACAACTAACTTATCAATTATCAGCTAGTTTGCCAGCCTAAGAATAATGTGACAGGCTAACAGGTTACCTTGAGAAGATCAAAGACTTTCTCGGCAATATACTTCTGTTGAACAGTGGCACCTTTCTGCTGAACTTTGTCTGGATGAATGCATAAAGTCGCCTTGTAATAAGCTTTTTTCACGGCTGTAGATGTAATCAAATCAGTCAATGAAATTGGCTGCCACCCGCTCCCAGACCAAAGTACCTGCAAATACATATAATAACAAGCATATTAAGATGCCAATAAACAACATATATAGAAACAAAAAACTTTCATATATCCATATAATTCGCATTGTTTATGAAATTGAAGAGAATGAAGGATTGAGGTTCCATAGATCAGCAATAGTAAAATCTCATAATGTCAGAAATTAGTGCCTTCATGATATTGCTTGCTTAGGATACAAAATGCAAAAGCAAAGTAGTAAAATAGAAGGCATACTTGTTGTAATGAAGATAATAGTGCACGCAAATTGCCTTCTTTTCCTACAGCCCAACGCTTTATATCACCGTCTAGAGTTGCAGCAACCCTCTGAAAATTGTAATGATAAAATTAAAGATGTAAAGAAACAACAATCGTACTTATAAAAGTATGTGCCGTTATGTGAAACACATCAAACATACAATTTTGAGCATGTCAAAAAACAGTGAAATACATAAAATATAATAAAAAGATTGCAGCACGAATTCCTTAGCTAGCTTTAGAAAAAAGAATTGTTTGATAATATGTTACTTTGTACCCACCAAAAAAATATAGACACCCTTCTCAAAATTCAAGTAAATATGTGTTTAAGAACACATATATAGAGAGAGAGAATTTCAAATGAACAAGAAAATACAGAAGAAGATATCCTTTTTTTCAAGTAGAAAAATGTTCAGGGCGTGTTTGGTACCTGGACAGGATAGAATAGCCGTTCACCGATTGGTAGGACAGGACCGGTAAAATGACCAATTTACCTCTAATGAGTTATTTAGTGTTTTTTTTACCAATTAATCATTCTAAACGAAAATTAATGCCTGTCCCAGTTTTTCAACATAAAAGTCGTGCCAAACATGGAAATTGAACCCTGTCCTGTCTTGTCATATCCAGTGTACCAAACGCACCATAGCAGCAATTTCTTCAAAATTCAATGGACTCAACAGCCCCAAGAATATATAAAGATAGCATACATATAAAAACTTACAAGCTTCTCATCTTGCTCTCGCTGAGCCTGAAGGTCACGCTTGTTCTTCTCATTCAATGCTTTAGCCTAACAAATCATAAAGTAAAACAGTATTGTAAGAACTAACCATCAAAGTGAATAATTGCTCTGCTTTTTGGTAGTGGACATTTGCTATAGAAACTCATTACTGTAGATAAATCACAATATCTAATCTATTCTAATTTCACTTATAAGCATAACAGGGTTTTCCTAAGATAACGTATTCCAAATATGGCAAATACCATGTGGATAGTGTCATAGTCTTGAAATAATATATTTACGTAAGTTGGTTACAAGAATGAAATGTAATACTTTTTTTTTGAACGGAAACCAGGCAAATTTATAAACCAGAAAAGAAGAACAGCGGACAGACAAAGGTTTGACCACTACCTACAAGGCATAATTTGCTTTTATTGGTGAGAAAGTACTATAATTTGCTTTTATTATTAAAACTAGGGGACTTTGGGTAGTTTAGTGTATTTAAAGACCAAGTAGAAATTTAGTTATTCATCAACATTATTGGGGTCTTTTAGTGGTTTCCTTGTTCTCCAAACGTAAGTTCTCCCCTTCCCAAATTGAGTTGTAATCCCCATTGTTTCATTCTCTATGACTGAATCATAGAGCATTGAAACATAATAACAGACTTAATACACACACACACACACACACATATATATGCAAACAACACATACATACAATACATGCATACATATAAAAATGCATATACACACACACATACCGACAATGATATACAAATATATACATACATATACATATATGCAGACTTAACATACATTAACAAATGTTGGCATGAAAATGTCAACATAAGTTAGTATAAGTTGAAATAATTTAACATGCATTAACACGTGTGTTAACATGTTAACTTATGTGAACCTCCGCTAACAAGTACTTCCTACGCTTCATACGAAGCTTTGATTTCCTACCGCAACACAATCCTATATAGATTATGTATACATACATACATGATACATATGCAATACATGTATTCGTGTAAGGCTGATGAGTTTCTCAGAATAATATCCTTTGCCAATAAATCTTTTAAAACTGATTAGGTTACAAGAGGCAACTACAGAGATATATGCATACATACATATGTAAACATGTATATGTATAAAGCTGATGAGTTTCTTTAAATAATATCCTTGACCAATAAATCTTTTAAAGTAATCAATCAGCTTACAAGAGGTAATTCTAGAGGAAGACAAGAACAAGTAATTGTGAGTGGAGTTAGAAAAATACCATGCGCTCCCGGGTCGTCATGTGATGGTTTAATCTGGCTCTTCGTCTTTCCTCACTTTCCCCTTTCATTTCCTGAAATTCTCCTGCTGTAGGGGCATCTTTGAATATAACAAACAAAAACAAGCATCATGTTACTCAACTCCTCTGATATTAATAAAGTTGACAACCGGTCTTGAAATTCTATTACCTCCCATTCCAAAAAGATAAGAGAAGTCATCACCACCATTTGCCTTCGAGGATGCCTTCTGTGTGCCGTATGAGCTCTCAGAGAAAGACTTCTTCTCAGCTTTAGGGCCACCATTGTTGTTGAAAAGAGCATCGTAAACAGAATCCTGAAACAGAAACATGCACGATATCAACCCAAGTCTAAAGTTACCTCATACGCTATTCCGAAATTTAGACGAAAATGGAATTGTAATTCTGAGATGAAACAGGTGATATTTTAGTCATGTGCATAATTTATCTTCACATTTTGTTTCACCTCAGATGTAGAGCTCTGACTGGGTCTGGTGCTTGAGCTAAAAAAGGAATCCAGATAATCAACACTGGAAGCTCCATTATTTGCTTTAGAGCTCCCATATGCTCTCTCCATCATTACAAAGGGGTCTTCTCCCAAATTTGAAAATAAATTGGCTGAATGACCACTTGATTGGCGAGAGGGATTTGTTACTGATTTCCTTCTGCATTACATCAACAAAAATCTGTCACCCCAACCAAATCTCAAATAACACAACATGGCCACAACTCTTCAAATATGAATCAAGTCTTAGAACATGCTATACTTCCAATGAATCTACTGAAAAGGATAAAAAGCTAGAAAAATATTTACACAGCTTTCAATAGTCCTTTGTGGGAATAAGAAATGGTTTGAACTATGTTTTTGGGTGTATGAATGGATTTAGGTTTCTGGTATTACTTGCATGTTAACCGGAGCACTAGTTCAGATAAGGGGTCGAGTTAAGAATGAGGCTCAGGATAAATCACATAGAGACTGAAACAGTCAAAAAAATGTGTATTTCTTGGAAAAGGTAGGGTGCCAAGCGACTAGCAAAAGCTATGCGATATTGAAGCCACAAATCTATGTAGCTCAAATAATCATCCTCAGAAGTATTCAAAACCGTAAACAGACAGAATGGGCAAGAAACCCAATCATGCAAACAAAAAAGCTAAAAAATACAACTAGAACTAGGTTCATTCATACATGAATAAACCAAATAACCATGTGTATGCCATTGACATGAACCACAAAATGAACCGAAACTAAAGTGCTACTGCAGTTTCTTCAAGCACTCAAGAGATTAATGACCATATGACTTTGGTTATCTTGGACATCATTACTCAAGTACCAAAGAGAGAATATATGTGATCCATGTAAATCATGACACTGGAAGCCTATTCTTTTAGTCTGATAAGTCCTAAGTTCTTGAAAAAACACAATGTGAGGAAAAGAAAGTGACCACACATAGCCAAATCTCTAGTCATTTTAGTAATAGAGAAAAGATTTTCGGAAAGGTAAGCATATGTAAAATATTTAGAGGGTTTAACACATAATTAATTATTCAGATTTCATATCGCCTGTTAGATTATCTTTATGTTAAATTACCTTATGTACATATTCCTATACTTTAGGGACCATTTATGGAATTTAAATAGGTATATATAGTTTCCTTTCTTCCCTTTGAATTGTTGATCAATCTTTCACAAATTGAATACACAGATCTTATTCTCCATTTTCATAGCTCTGTCACAATCTATTTATTCTAACACGGTATCAGGGTTGTAGGTAAGTGTATTATCAATTTATCATCGTAGCTTCTCTCATATCGTCATACAATCGTATCCTTCATACTCCTTGTGTTCTTTCAAAACCCAAATCCATCAATCCATCGATATTGTTTAGTGATAGTATCTATCAAAAATCAGACATCCAAAACCACAAATCTGGTTTCATCGACCCTATGTTTAGTGATATTCTTTTTGCAACTATGTTTTGCAATCTTCACCATTCACACTTGTCAATCTCAACTCATGGTTGAACCCACCGTTTCATCTTCCGACACAATGTTGGCTACATCTAAACCCAAAAGTAACAGAAAGTTCACAAGTAGCCAAAATTCATCAACATGCACCTATTATCATGAGAGAACTCATCAACTACTGAAATTGTCCTCATTGTATCTGCAAATTCTGCCAGGAAAAACACCCAAAACATGACAGGCCTTACTGCTTCAAGAATCCAGAACACATCAAATCCCACATTGGATCCCCGGCAGATCGGGATCCACTAATCGGATGGGGCACATTACAAGAGCCAGCACCTACCTTTACTCCCAATGGTACACCTCAAGGTATTTCTTGGCTATTCGATACCGCCTGTTGCAATCATTTGGTACACAACTCTGATCTGATATATTTGTCACTAAGAAACTGACTATTAGTTCAATATGGTGGTCATGTTTCCACCTCTCAACTCTCATTAATCGATATACTTTACATACCTAAACTTTCAATTAGTCTCGTTCCATTAGTCGGCTTTGTGATATGGATCTCTTAGGGCTTCTTTGTTAGTAGCTTAATGAGACTCATAGCTCATTTAGTCAGCTATACATGACTGTTTGGTAGTAGCTTAATGATATAGAAAGTGGCTTATTCAGTAAGCTTCTAGGGGGAGCTTTATGCATAAAGCCAATATTTTTCCAAACATGCGCTTCCCAATTAAAAACACACTCCCACCTATGAAAAAAACCTCTCATACCAAAACACTTCTCGATCTATACAGACAGCATTATCCATATTCACAGATTAATCCTTACTGTTACCTTTTCTTCTTTCGGTTGTTTTGCACAAGATCCCAGTGCAAGCAGAGTATTAAGGTAGGCCATAAGCTTGAACTTAAAATTATGCTAATTGTCCATAATAAACTAGAACGAAAAAGTGACTTGTAAGTAGACAAGTGAAGTAGCTGCGATGCATTATGTTCAACTTTAGCTAAAAATGTTAATTGGGAAGCTAAAGTAAACAATAGCAAATAACTATATTTCAAATCAAATTAAAACGACATTATATTTCTTTGCAGTTAGATGTTAAGGATTCAAGTCAACCTTCTTTGTAGTTAAATGACGTGATTAATTTCATACCCATTTTGATCGTTTCAGGAATCATGTGTAATCAACTTAAAAATGCCATTTACAGTATGATCCAAACAAGCAAATTAACAAAAGGAGGCAACTAAATGCAAAAGGTATTATTACATACCCGTTACTTGAAGGGGGTTTTATACCAAAACCTGATAGCAAATCTGCCGATTCAGAAGCAGCTTCTTGCTTTCTCACTGAATTCTTCTTTAGACCATTGGACTTCATTCCATTTCCATTCGAATTTCCAAGTAAATCATCATATTGTGAAGCATTTGCTTGCTTTCCCCCAAAGTTATTTCTAGAACCATTCGATGCCATCCCCATCCCACCAAAATTTCCAAGCAAATCATCAATTGGATTCGTCTTGTTAAGCGTATGATAATAATCAACAGAAGTCGATCCTGAGGTCCTCTTGTTCAACCCAAATACATCATCATCGTCATCGTAATTATTCGAATGGGAAACCTTAAAAACTGAGTCCAAATCAATACCATTAACCCCAGAACCAGCTCCCCCAAATACATCATCAAAACCAGAATTCGGGGGCTTCCTATCCTTACTACTATCGGATCTAAAAATCCCATCAAGATCATCAACATTAAGGGGAGGATTCGAATTATACGGCGATTTAGATCGGCTGAAGGACGAAAACTCCACGTTGAGACCATTGGTGTTGTCATTGGTTTTGTTGGTGCCCTTCAAATCGGCCAATGGGGCCGATGATTTCCCATGTGCTTTGAAGCCAATACTTTCTACTAGAACACCAAACTGATCCATTCGAAGTAAGGAGGGTGGTGGGGTTTGTTGAAGAAAAACTTACAAAAAGAAAGGAGAAAATTATTTGAGCCGAAAAGCAGCTATTGGAGATGGTTTTCGAAGAGGAAAGTGCTTCGAATTAAGGGTTGAAGAAGATTTATAGTTCGAAGGAGATAACCCACCGACAATATATTGAATGATTCTCTCTGGATCTCCTCTTCTTCCCTCCTCAGCCTTGATGGAATGGAGGTGTCAAGGGTGCGTCGTTTCGTGCTGGTGTATGTGGGACACGACGTATGAGCTGGTACGCTTCTAATTTCTATCTAAATTACAAAATTCGTCCCTGGTTTTTGTGTTAATGTCATATTATACCCTCTAATTTTGTGTTATTTGTAAAATTAAAAAAACGTTTATGGAGTCTTTGATAAAAGTAAAAAATATGTTAAATAATGATAGTCTTTAATTAAAATCCCTGGATCTCAATTAAAATCTTATAGAAATAGAATTTAGAAATGTGGGAGGAAAAGAAAACATTAAATTTTTTTAAAAAATTATTATAATTGCGAAACTATCCAATCTTTCATTATAAATAATATATTTTTAAAGGTTATGTTGATAAAAATGACATCTTTCATTTCCTTTCTTTTCTGTTTAAGAACATAAAAAATTATTTTATTTTATTATTTTTCTTTTCTTTCAAAAGTTTCTTCTCTCCCCACTTTTGAGAACACATCATAAGAGCTCCAAATGGATCTTTTTAAATGGGAACCATTTGGAGGTCTTCAAACATCCCCTAGGGAGATACGAGTAAAGATATCAAAGGTCATATAAACAAGAAGCTCACAAGTCCTCTTTGGACTATGAATTGGCCTTTTTGCTTAGTGATGGCCAAAAATCGGTCCCGGGTTGGGCTGGGCCGGGCCGGGCCGGTCCCAATCGGGCCTTGAGGTTTTCGTAATCGGCCATAATCAGGCCTTCCATAATTGTTTGTTGTCGAAAATGCGATGACCGGTCAAGCTCTTCCATAACCGGTTATGGGATACCGGTCTCGGTCCCAATCAGGCCTTGACAAAGAATTTTTTTAAATGATATATATTTTTACTATGTTATTAAATTTGTCGTACGTGTCACTCAAATGCATTTTAAAAATACGTTTTATTATAATTAAAATTATATTGTTTTACAAAAATTTATTATAAAATTATTTGAAAATACATTTATTCATTAATCTTCATCGGTATCCCATGTCGGATTGATTTGGAGAGTTCTGGTCTCTTGAATTCTTCTAATAGTCTCTTGGTCATCAATGTCGAGTTCCTCATCATCGCATATTGTGAGTAAGTGTTGTCGGTATCAGTAGTTGGCGGCATGCTTAGTCCCATGGAGATTTCATTTTCTTCCAGATTTTCTTCTATTGCTTCAATCTCCATCTCTAACGATGTCGTGTGTTGAATCTTATCAACGCTATCCAAATAATCCTTCAAGCAGATGCAACACTCCACGAACTTCAGGTTTAGTCTTGTCCGACATATAGAAATGATCCTACCACTAATATAAAAAACAGACTCCGAAACTATGGTATTAGTTTGGATTGTTAGTACATCACGTGCGATGCACGCCAAAATCGGGAATTGAGGTTGTTTTTGTTTCCAAAAATCTAATAAATCAATTTTTTCAAAATCTTCGACTTCATTTGCGGGGCATGCGGCCATAAAATTAGTACATACATATTTAATTCACCCAAATCATTATCATATTGACTTTTTTTACTTGATTCATTTAAAACCTCATTCAATAAATTAGTCATCAACTCTTTATAACTTTGTCGATGACCACTAGAAGAACTAGAACCCGCAAACCCACGACTTGAAGGTGTTTGTGGTTCGTTTCCTCCTCCATAAAAATGTTTGTAATGATCTGTTGATCCCCTCTCTCAGTGATTTGATGATAATCCCTTTTATCTATCGATGTAATTTTGTTTCTGTATTTTCAGTTCCAGCGATCATACGCTGAGTATGTTCAGTGATCGCTGAAGAACTTGCTTTGTAAATTCATCAGAGACAGCAATACTTCAAGAAGACAACACTCACACCAAAGAACCTTCAGCAAACGTCGAAGACTAAAACTGAAGATTAGAGACTGGCGAGTACGTGATCTGAAGCGGTATTCAGTGATTAC